CCTACGAGCACCGTCAGGCCCTGCCCGATGAGACTCACCCGAGTCCGACCCGCTGCGCCTTTCGGCGGGGGTCTTGGTGGCGCTTGTTGCTGCTGCAGCAACGGGCGTTTTCTCCAGGCAAGTGCCGCTGCAAGAGGGCACATCGTCATCATCCTCCTTGGCGTGCTCCTCAAACAGAGCCCGTTCATCTGGCGAGAGAGCGTCAAGGAAGCTAAATTTTCATCTAGCTCCCTGACCCCCTTTGCCTGCCGCWGTACCGATTTCCTTTTCGTTGTCCAAGTCCGTTTTCCGAAGTTGTCGCCTATTTTCCAGTTTGTCCGAGTTTGTGTTTTTGTTTGTATTCATCTTGTTCTTACGACCCTTGGCTCAACAGGGTGAGCTGTCGGGTCTATCATTTATATGGGGAACTAGAAGGTCCGCCACGCCAGAGCCCCATGACGCGGTAAGGCCACAGTTACTCCCCAATTCGGCCCGGTGTCAGGGAGGCTCCGTTAGAATACAGCCGAATTTAACCTCCCGGCTGCAACTCATCCAAAGGGCACGGGAGTCGAATAACACCCTGGATTAAGAGGTGGTAGCTCTTGGTTAGCGTACGCATGCGGCACCCGTCACCCCACGTGGTCAGTGCTTACTAGCACCAGCCGCACTGATTGCGGGGCGCCGAGTATGCCTTGCGCCTAAGCCCCTGCACCGCGGCAAGGTGTGTACCATTCGCAGAGGATGCTTTCGTCCGACCATATTTTACAAAGAAGCTGATGCATGCTCCTTATAAGTTCTTCGCCGCCGTGTTTGAATAGCTCGGCCGGTAATCCATCGGCCCCGGCGGCTTTGTTCTTTTTCAGGCGGGTAATTGCTGTTCGTACTTCTTTCTGCTCGGGCAATGGAACGTCTGCTCCATCGGCATCGATTGGGAATCCGGTTCGCCTTCTCCTGGCGTTGTGCGTTCACTGCCATTCAGCAAGCTGGAGAAGTGTCCCTCCATAATTTAAGTATGCTCTGGGCATCCGTGACTTCTTTTGGGAGTTATACAAGAGTATGATCCGGCTTTGAGACCTTCTGTTAGTCGTCGTATCTTTTCGTAGAATTTGCGAGCATTACCCCTGTCGGCCAGCTTGTCTCGGAATTTATTGCCGCTGTTCAAGGTCGCTAATAAAAATTTAAAACAATGAAAATCAAAGAAAATGCGAAATTTAAATATATATCATGAAATGTTTTGTAATTTGATGCATAATAGAATTAATATTCTATTACAAATGATTAAAAACAATCATTAATTGAGAACTAACAGGCTTAATTCACCTTATTAATATCGAAAGTCAGTTGTTTTGATATACCAGAAAATCATAAAAAAGGAATTAAATAGTTTCGCCATATATTAAAAGACCAATACATAATAATTTGCAATCGAAATAAATGTTAATTAAAAATGTCCAAAAATTCTTATTTGGTGCGATCTGGCTATAATGGAAAATGTTATAAAAAACGCTTATTTTGAGGCGCTCTCACACTGGAATAAGTTGGGCATCCCATTATTCCTGGTTTTGACGTTTAGCAATTGCTCTTTGACTTCCAGTGAGAGAGCAGTTGGGGATCTCATTATCTCTGTTACCATAGATAGTATGATAAAAATTTACAAAATTTTATAAAATTTACCAATGATGTCACTGCTGAAAAACATTAGATTGAGTATTTAATAAATTATACAAAACACTAAATTAAACACTTGAAAAATGCATACATACATATACATAAACATTTATTTTGCTAAAATATGTTCGCACAGTTCAATGAAGCTTCATTGCACTCTAATTTCGTCAGTTAATTATAGCGGTTTACTTCTGACATCCCGCCTTTTCTGAAATGAGCTGATCGAAATTCCCTGATCTGCTTCACTGTCAAATAATCAGGGAACGAGTTTGAGAGAAAAATGAGAGCCAATGCCAGAGTCTCGTACAATATTATCCATTATAACACTACGAAAATTGCAATTTAGCGAAGTAATATTCAAAACATAAATTTTAACAGCACATGGAAAATTTTATTTAAATACTGAAGTACATATACATATATGTATGTACCACGCATTCACCGTCGAACTGTCATCGTAACCGGTTGCTTATTGAGTTTGTTAAAACGGTATAACGGTTTGTTCTGCGTTTATATTACGCTCGTGCTTTGTTTGTGAATTAATTTTTTATCGTTTTATATCTTTTCAATCACTTAATTTCTTAATTTGTTAAACTAAAATTCGCGTTTACTATGGCCCCTGGGGCCACCAAA